ATGGAAGGCCCCAAGTGCAAGTATCAGTTCATCATGGTGTATTGTGTATCCAGTGTTCTCAAATATCATTGTTTGACTGATCCATAGACGATGCAGCCATAATCCAACTTGGAACATGCTAATGTTCTATAGAGTTTCAGTAATGTTTGTTGACTATCTGCCCATTCAGCTAATGTTCTGTAGAGTTTCAATAATGTTTGTTGACTATTTGCCCATTGTCTGTAGGGCCTTGTTACATTTTATTCTTAGCTTTTTAATAAAGACTGGCAATCTGCATCTCAGACCAAGTTTAGGATATCCTTCATAATCCCATGCTTCCAAGTAGTGTCATATGCTTCCTTTAGGTCAAAGACGACAGCATTTAGATGATCTTTTCTAATGTTACCTTCTTTTATAAAGGTTTCCAATCTTATCAGATGATCGACTGTACTCATTTTTTTTTTTCTGAAGTTACACTGGAATTTTGTTTTTAATTTTATTTTTTTCAAGGAACTAGGTCAGTCTCTTTTTAATCATTTGTTCCATCACTTTGCAAAGGCAACTGGTTAGAAATATCGGTCTATAGTTTTGTGGGTCTGCATGATCTTTTCCCAGTTTTGGAATCGGGATAATTTTTGTTTGCATCCAGGTTTTTGGAAATTCTCCATTTATCCAGATTTTATTGAATATATGTAATACGTATTCTAGGCATTCTTGTTGGAGGTACTTGAATTCCTAGCATATTCCATCAGGACCCTCTCTGCTGTGTTATAGGACATTTCAATGGACTCCCTGCATTCTGTCATAGTAAGAGGTTTGTTGTAATGTTCAAGGTTATTTGATAAGAAGTTGAGTTTAACCTTTTCCACCTCCAGTTTGATATTTTGTAATCTCGGATTTCCATCTGCCTTAGAGTTTTCCAAGTAGATTTCAGCTAGTAGATTGGCTATTTCTATCTTGCTAGTTATTTTATTCTTGCTTTATAGGGAGGGTTTCATTTTTTTTCCCTGATATTTTCCTTACCGTTTCTTAAATTTTTTTTGTTTTTAAGTAAGAGTGGAGGTTGTTTATGTATTTTTTCCAACACTATTCTCTTTTTGCTTCTTTAATTATCCTGTGAACCCATGCTCTGAGGTGTTTAAACTCAATTAGATTGTGTGGGGTTAGCATACTGCTGAATTTTCATAGGGCCAAAGTACAATCGCCTCCTGGCAATCTTTTTCAAACTATGACTTCTTTTGTCTATTCTTCATTTTGGGATGCATTCTGTCGCTATGGTGTTAAGTGTTTCTGTAAAGTGATCCTCATCATCATTTGTATCCTTGATTAGCCAATTTTTTACATTCACTTTCATAGTTTAAGTTCATTTCTTTCATCATATTTTCCTTTTCAGTGTAGTAACATTAGTAATAGTATTAGTAATAGACTAAATAGTCCTAAATTTCTTAGATGAAGCATTGTAATTATTAATTTTTAGCTACTTATTTTTTAAATTCTCCTTGGGATACAAAATTCTATTATTGCTATTAAATGCATGTAATTAAGAAAATTGAAAAAATAAAATGTTTAATTATAGTGAATGATAATTAAATAAACTAAAATTTTTACTCCTTGTCTGTGATTGCAAATATGGTAGTTTTTTTTTTTTTTAAACAATAAAGAGAAATTAAATGTCAGAATTTTTTAGATGAACAATGACAATAGTCTGGTGGATTATGGTGTTAGTTTGTGAATTTCATCACATAGCTCATTCTGGATATGATGATAAACTACATCTGGCAGTAAGGTCTGTTACTGGGAGATTGGAGATTTTAAGGAGTATGGAGGCACCTCTTAGTTGCTGTTGTTTCCAGGTCCACCCTTACCAGGGGTGGTAGCATCTTTTAGAGTCCCAGCTAAGGGCAAATAGTGAAATCCCAAACAAAAATCAACAGTACATTTTCATAATAAAATTACCATTGTATAATAAAATGACAGTGCAACATTAAAACAATATAAAAATACATTTTTATAATAAATTTACCAACAATACATTTATGATCTACAAACTTTATATCTAAAAAAAATTACTTTTACTCTGAAAGTATAAATTTATGTACAAAATAACTGTAGTTGAAAGCATAAAACTACATACCAGATTATTTACATTATTCGGTCTATTGTGCTCATCTTTGTCGCAATATTTATCACAACGTTTCGGCCGCCGTACACTTCGACCTTCTTCAGGTGGTTGGAATGTACAACAGCCAAAATGTTGTGATAAATATGGTGAGAAAGATGAGGACAATAGTCTGAATAATGTAAATAATGTACATAATACCTCATCTCAGAAATATAGACAGATACATACCAGATATTTACATTTCAGCATGAAATAACCCAAAGAGATTGAAATACCGCTAACCAAATAACCAACATGAAAGAACTCTTTCATGACATTAATCTATATAGTATCATAGAATTTCCTAAAGAAATCAAATTGTATTCCAAAATATAACTTCAACAAAACTATAACATAAAACACATATCATCACCTTTAGCAATTATGTCCACACATGCAAACATGAAAATGCACAAATGATGAGTTTAATCTACCATGTATTCAACTGTGAAGGCAGAATAACATATATCATTTTTTTTTTTTTTTACTTCAAAGCTCCAAGAAAATTAAATTTTGGCATTAAGTGATCCATAAGGTGTTGATATGCTGTTAAACAAACCAAATTATCATACAGCAACTGTAAATTTATAGTAGGATACTAGTATGTTTGGGTAAATATTAGTCACCATTATATTGCGAGAATCAGCTTTAGATAGTAAATATTTATGGGTCACTGGAAAATTTATCCCAGAAACAATGTTGGCAGACACAATGTGAGTCCAAGTTTGGTTTGGTTTACGGCATATCAACACCTCAATGGGTTATTTAATGCCAACAAAATTTTTATTGCTGGTAATATTTTTTTCAAACATGGTAGTAATATTTTTCCTTCAAAAATCTATTTCTGATAATATTTTTTTTCAAAATGTATTGCTGTTAATAATTTTTTTACAAATTATTTCTGGTATTATGACCTATTTTTACACTTTCATAAATGTTTTGACCCCAGTTTGGGGGTTAACTATTTGCCCATAGCTGGGACCCTAACAGGTGCTACCACCCCGGGTCAGGGTGAACCTGGGAACACCAGCAATTAAGAGGTGGTTCCACGCTCCTCAAAACCTCCTGATTAGAGGCCTTGCTGTTGGATGTAATTTATCATCTTACCCAGGACATGGATATAGTTTATTGTCGTACCCAGGACTGGTGGGTCCAGGTAAAAACGAGAACCAGATAACAATACAACAATGTATGTATTTACAAAAGGATTTACAGGTGTAGACAACTAATGAATGAAAAAAACATTAAAACAAGTTATAATAAGAATGTGTGTGTGTGTGTGTGTGTGTGGTGAGAGAGAATACAAAAAGAGTCAAGTGAGAGAAAACCATAAAATGAATGTGCCCCAGTTGGGGACATTTTACCCACATGCAACTATGTCTGAAAGCAAGAGTTGAAAAGGGCTAAAAGAGACTGAGTGAGAATAGCATTGCCTATTTATAGGCTTAAAAAGTGCAGCGTGCAATTTCTTCCAGTCAAATGCATGAGACTTAAAAAATTACCCTTTCAGCCAGATTGTTACCCACATGTGAAAAACAAAACAATTTCAAGCAGTAAACCAGATTTTACTTCTCAGTTCTAACCTACTGCTATAAGTGAGCAAAGTAGAAATGAGGCACAGGTTATCCTGTTTCTTCTCAAAGTCCTGCTTTGTTTCTTCTGTGTGCCTTTTCATGGAATTTTCTTTGTCTTGACATCTTTGTCCAAAAAAGTAATTTATCTACCTTCCATGACTTTCTCTTAGTCTGAGCCTCTTGCTCTGTACTTTGACATTTACTTCACTTACTGATAACCATAGGTCAAAAGTAAATGTTCTGTATTGAGCTATATGACAGGTCTTGCTGTTTTCAATTTAAGAAGACTTCTGATTCATAATGCTATATAAGTGTGATAACCAACAAGTTCAATCCCTGTGCTGAGAAAAGTAGTTTCAAACTCAATGGAAATGGGGTAAGCAGTAGCTGAACATCACTAAATAAGAACTAGATAAGATATCCCTGGATGTGGACAGTGGGACAAGAACAACTGATGCCCACAGATTAAATATACAGTTCAGTTTTAAATTCTCTGAAGGTTATGATGAAGGCCAATGGGTACAATGGCAGAAAGGCGGTGATAATAACAACAAAGATGGGGACAATAGTTCAAATGTAATTATTGTAAACACATTTCATTCAACAGTAAGGATAGGGATAATAGCTTTAAATGAAGCATTGTAATTATTAATATTTAGCTACATTTTTCTCTGATCATAGTTATTACATTATCACATCATAGAAAAGAAATACAATCACTTACATCTTTTGAAAGTTGCTGCAAATCCTTGACCACTGACTGAGCTGTCAGACTTAAATCTTATATAGAATTGATTTCTTTGAGAGAGAACATGTTTACCAGAATCTTGATTCAAACCACACAATGTGTAAGAATATCCAGATGAACCTGAAAAATCAAGGTTTATAAAAAAGTGTAAACAAAAGCAAAATATATCCTTAACATATTGTTATGGTAATTTACTCATGCACACGTGAACTCTCCCAGCTTTAATAAGGAGCAGGTACTGCCTTTTTGGTGAGGGAAGTTTCCAGCAGTCAGCTCTGACAGCCAGACTGAACATTCTTGCTGTAATACTCATGTTTGTACATGTTTTGTATTACTGTTTCTGTTAATATATTTGTTTAACTCAATTCCTCTCTTTGTGTCTTTTTTTCTGGCCCTAACAAGGCCACCACAACATTGCAGGTCTTGAATTTTTAATGTAATTTTTTCTTTTGGTAGGAAGGGGGGCTTAATTTTACTTGATGTAATTCTAAATTTTTATTTAACTTTTTCTAATAGTATTGACTTATAGCCAAATCACATTGAAACATTGGTTCTCATACAATCATCAAAATTAAGCAACATTGAGCCTGGTCAGTACCTAGATGGGTGACCACTTGAGAATACCATGTGCTGTAATGGATAATGGTTTGAAACTGTTAATCAGAAAGCTTTCAAATTCCACTTAGATTCATTATATTAAGTATCTGTCTATATTTCTGAGATGAGGTATTATGTACATTATTTACATTATTCGGACTATTGTCCTCATGTTGCCATATTTATTACAACGTTTCGGCCGTTGTATGCTCCAGCCTTCTTCAGATGGTTGGAATGTCGAACTGAACCATTTATTTTGCTCACTGGAGTAGACTGTTCTAGTTCCACATGCCATGTTTAATTCCCCTCTCCAAGTTCTCCACCGCCTTAACCAGGTATTGAACTCACACTCTTTGGGTCCTGTCACTGAATCTAACCACCGCTTTTATCCACTGTGCCATCTTGAGGACATCTGAGTATGAATTTCTGGGTATTATAAACCTAATGTCTTCAATCATTTTTTTTTACCAGAGCTCATATTGCAATTTTTGCTGTTATCGCTTTTCTCTGGCACTTCTTATTACTGGTTCCCATATTGTATTCATTTCTATGCTTGGTTGGCTCAGGAGATTTTTGTGGCCTAGCATATGTGCTGATTCCTTAAGTTTACGAATTTTCGAATAATGTTCTTTGTCTATGATTCCAACCTGATCCCACAGAGGGCAGTGATCTCCCTTTTCTCTCTATAAGTGGAAAAATCAGGTGTGGCTGACCACATATGGAGAGAAAAGGGAGATCACTGCCCTCTGTGGGATCAGACTGAGATCACTTATGCACAAAATACCCTTGGCAATGGTATGAATCCACTTCTTATCCCCCCCCAGCTATGTGTTAATTACTCAGACATGTATCACTGAAACTATTATCTTAAAAAAAATTGTGTACAAAATATTTAGATTTTGGCATTAAATAATCAATAGAGATTGATAGGCCACTAAACAAAAACAACCAATGTAATACTGTTACTTTTATAGTCCTTTATCTAACTTATTTGCTCATACACACACACACATCTGACAATACACTATTTACATTGCTTTTTTGCAAAATAAAGGGTTCAGTTCAACATTACAACCACCTGAAGTCGGCCAGAGCCAAAACGTTGTGATAAATATGGCATAAAAGATGAGGATGATAGTCCAAGCAATGTAAATAGTGTACATAATACCTCATCTCAGAAATATAGACAGATACATCTAAAATGAACTTTCTAAATGGTCATTTCTTTTGTAAATTGCCAAATTTTGTGGAGAGACATTTTCCATCTGTAACTCTCTACAGCAGAGTTTCCTAACATGTATGGGTTTCAGGGGGTCCATGTGGATCAGAAAAAAATTAGCATTTATATTTGCTATACAGCCCTTGTGCCATTCAATGTTTTCCCATTGAAAGAAATAAGAGAAAATGCGCTCAGCCATTATTCATAATGCCAGCTGCTAGGCATCTCTTGACATACTGTTGAGTACATCTTCACCATTTAAACTTTCGTCATCATTCTTTATACGACTGCCATATTTTTCCACTCCATGAGAGTAACTAATTATCTTCTCACATGCTGGCAAGGTTTAACTGACCTCAATTTCTTTCAAGTGTGGCTGGCTGAAAAGTGATGTGTGTGCAGTGTTCATGAGGGTGCAGTATAGAGGAATGCATGTACAAATGTTGTGAAAAACCAATCACACTGTGAATATCTGCTTGTCTTTATCATTCTGCTAACATTTTCTTTCAATGTCAATTTTTTGTGCAAATCTGTGCAAAAAGTGGATCACAGAGCCTTGATATTTTTCTCACTTCTCATTGGTCAGTTAATATTAAAATCATGTTCCCCACTTCGGATAACATCAACCTGACAAAAAAAAAAAAATTCCACCAAAATCTGTCTTCCAGAGCCAATCAGGTGATCATGTTGATTATAAATACTGTGACACAAGTTCATTCTTCCGTTTTTTGATTTCTCTCGCTTACTAAAATGTAGCTGTTTAAGGAATCGCATTCTGACCTCTTTCAGGCAAATACTATGAAAACATATGCACACATACATGTACGTATGGAAACTTCATTACAAGTATCAACATATTATGAATATTCAACTAAAAGCAACAGAAACTAATTAAACATTATGGAACATTCACTCCAACTCTTCTGAAGATAAAAGTTTATCAACATATTCTCAGCTTTACAGAATTCTTTCAACTCTCTCGCAATGAACATTTTGAGCAGCAATTCCATTCAACTTTCTATGAGCTCAAAAAAAATATTTCCTTCGTAAAGACTTTAATTCCAGTCAAAGGGAAGTAACTCTTATTAATCATGCTTGTATATCATTGAATATAATATGAATATTGCTGTTATAAAACCGTTTTGTATTCCTTCTTATTGTTTCATATTTTGTGGTATTTTGCATAAATATAAATTTGAAAGGTCACACCAACTAACCAACCTCTACAAATGGTTTGGTTTGAAATTCCAATGTATATCACCAGAAGAATGGTTGAAATGTTGTGAATAAAGAGGAGGACAACAGTTCAAATGATGTAAATAATTTTTCATTGTTTTTGTACCAATTGTTTTTCATTATATTAATCATTTTTCCTTTCTTCTTGATAAATTTTCAAGGTCCACAAACCACATGAACAGTTTAGAGATTCTGCAGATTTTTCACTTGGTAAGTCATGTTTTCTATAGTAAATATCGTCTGTTGCATAATAATTATTACATGTACTGTAAAAATAACATGTAAAAGTAATGCCTATTATAGGAGAAAGGCATCATAAAGGGTGTTCCATTAACTTGGACCATTTTTAAATGTCTGTTTTTGAAGGCTTATTTCTTAGAAGGTTTCTGTGACTCAAAAAATGGTTAAGAACCAGTGTTCTAAGGTATCCAAAACTTGAATCAAAATTTGGGAATTTATTTATTTATTTTTTTTTTATCTGCCTATAAAAAAAATAAGGGAAGATTATTTTTTTTTCCCTTTGAATTTGTCCAATCCCTCTCTCTTACCACATTCTCAGGGGTAGAGATTGATCTTAGCTATAAATCTGAAAAATAATTCCTCTTTTATCGAAGCCAAAATAAAAAAAAAAAAAAGATGATACATTTGACCAAAGTTGAGTCACTGTGTCATGCCAGAAAAGTTTTCTTATCAGAATCAGTCTTGCACATTTAAAAATCTACCATTTTCCCATGTATTGAATACTGTTGCCACATCCGGTCTGGTGCTCCTGCTGTATATCTAGAGACTCTTAACAAATCCAAAGATGGATCCTGACTTCGCATCTTGACTTCAGTCACTTTCTCACTGACATAACATGGCTTCTCTCTCTTTTTTCTACAAATATTTTCATGGCAACTGCTCTGACAAGAGTTTTTTTTATCTTGATATCCCAAATGCATGAATTTAAGTCTGCTACTAGATTGCTAACTAAGTTTCACCTTTTTACTATTGAAATTGCCACTTCTACTCCAAGAGTTTCTTTTCTTGCACTTCTCACTTGTGGAACTTCCTTCCATTTACTTGCTTCCCTGATAACTACAAACTACAAAAATTTAAATGCAACATCAATTGCCATCTTCTGTCTTCTTGAATCCCATTCATCTTTTAGCCTTTCCTCAATCCTTCCTGTACTCAGTCTTTTCTTTCACTTCCTGTAAACCCCTTTGTATTACTGGCATTCTTGTGCCTTGCTTAGTGGGAAATGTTTGTTTGACAACATTGTGTACATGGCACTGAAGGTCTGCTTATTTATTCAGCATCTTTTCCCCATCCAATTTTTTAAGAAAAGAAAAACATAAATTGCAGATAATAATAGTAGTAGAATTTCTTTCCTTCCTTCCTTTTTTTGAGATGAAATAACACAACTTAAACCAAGTTAAAAAAATTGTAGTTAGTTATATATTGACTTTACCCTCACTATCCCTACTGACCAGGGCAAATGCATACCACTCCCAAAATTCCTGATTGACAGCCCTGGGTAGTGCTTTGTGAACCTCACTATCTTATCAAGATCTGCTTTTTTTTTCTACTTACATTTAAATCTTAGGTTGATGAAAGAAATACATCCTGAAACCTGTACCAACTTTTAACAATGTTTTTATTGATGGAATCTTATCTAAGGGGCAGGGAAATACAAAAAAAATACTTGTTTTGTCATTCACTTACCTACTTTTGGTGATATCTAACAATATACAACTCTATAGAAGAAATATTGTAAATTACTCACTCTTTTTATATTTGATGTAATCAGCATTACACATGAACTCAAAATGCACCGTAGTGAAATTAATCCAAATTTGAAAGCCTTTTATTGTATAGATGTACCAACTGCAGAATAGATTGGGTCGATAGCCATTTGGAAAGCCAGGAGATGTGATATTTTGAAGAGTGTCTGTTGCTTGTATATTACTAGAACAGTTAGATGTTGAGGCTGTTAAAAAAAAAAAAAAAAAAAAGAACAGAAAAAGTTTATATACAGACATATCAATTTTTTTTCAGTCAAAAATCATATTAGCATTGTTAACAGACCTTATAAAATTGTTACACACATATATATATATATATATATATATATATATATATATATATTCCCCCCGGTAAAATGAGAACAAATGGAGTATAATTCCACTGTGCATAACATTTAATTTAAAAGAAGAGGGATCAATACAGAGTAGAGCTAAATATTATTTATTTTAGGATATTAAAACATAAAACATGTTAAAAAAAGCAAAAACATGTTTTGTTTTAATATATATATATATATATATATATATATATATATATATATAGCACAGGTGTAACAGTAAATTGTTCAAATCTTGTTACAGCATTTAATATCTAAAAAACCACTAAACTAATTGAATTTCTTTTTTCCAGGTTTTCAGATAAGACACTTAACCATCTTGAAACCATTTTTTATAAGAATCACTGAAAAACCCTTTGAGTTATTCAACTAGAAAGAGAACAGGTTAAAATCATTTTGTGTCAATCTCACTGTCTTCCCAAATGAGCAATGGTGAGAGGGAAAAGATCATTCAGGCCT